GTGTGGGTGGCTGAATAGCCAGACCGCGAAGGAGCTCGCCGCTGCTGAGGGGCACAGCCTGTGCAGGCTGCAGCGGTGGGGCAGGGGGCAGCAACCAAAAGGCAAGCGCGCGGGAGGGGCCGAGGGGGCACACGGGGCAGACGGGCCGGGAGTGGCAGTGGGGAGGTAAGAACTTGGGCGAGCAGGACTGGGGAGTCTGCAGCAGCTGACATTTGGGCTGGGCTGGCAAGGACTAGCAGGGCCCAGTGGGCTGGGATCAGGCATTGCTGGAGGGGTGGAACAGCATGAGCAGCATCCTGGCCTTGGGAAAGCTTAGCACCATGTCTGGGGAAAGTGAGTCACTTAGGTGATTAAGGTGCATGACAGAACCTGCTGGTTAGTGTACCATGTTTAGAAAAACACGCACAATACTGAGGGCAGACAGAAGTTTGAGTTCAGAGGAAACTCCCAAAGTAGACAACTCACTTCTAGTGATTCTCGGTGACTCCTAGGGATGCGGAGCCAGTGTCTCTGTGTCTACACGTTAACTATAGCCTATTTTGCATGATGTGTCAACCACGTTATACGCGCAGTCTCTCAAACTTCCACCTACCTAGTGAGGTAAGCTCATTCTTCTCATTTGCTAGATGAGAACACTGAAGAGCTGAGATTAAATGAATTGCACCAGGTCTTTCAGGCTGGTGAGTAGCAAGCACAGACCTCGGCCTGGTTGGCTCCATCCACCGGGCCACCCAGGTGGCCTACTCCTAAATTAGTATCACGTGCGCCCCAGCAAACATCAGTGCTCTTGTTGCAGAGTGGCAGGAAAGGAGGAGTGGAGGTCCGGCCAGTGTGCCCAGAGCCCAACACGTGGGCACAGCCGGCCCAGGTGAGTCATCACCACCACGTGATCCGGTTGTCTCTAAACCCACAGGTGCACAATCCAACTGCAGCAGTGAGCCTGTATCCTGCCTGTGATGCTTTCCCTGACCGCCTCTCACACAGCTCCCTCCCCCTGCATGGCCTCCGTCCACCTGGCTTTCGTTCCTTCCTAGCATGTATCACCACCTAAAAGTAAACGATTTCTTCATTTTATTGTTTATGCTTCCCCTCTTTAGAATGTAAGCTAAGAGGTAGCTGGCAACTTTGTCTTGGTAACTGATGGGTTCTGAACCCCTAGCACGGTGCCTGGCATGTAAGCAGATGCTAAATAAATCTTTGTTGAGCAAAAGGAAAAAAAAGTATCAGTATTTTGTGTATTGTGCCTGCAATGAATATTTACATACTCATTTAATATTTAATATGCATTTTTAAAGATAACAAAAGAAGAGCTATCCCCCTCTCCCGAGTGTCTACACTCTAGCTGGGGAGAAAGGCAGGGGCAAACTATTACCGAAAGCTATCATTTACAATTACAAATGGAGTCATAAAGTCCCTGTCATGGAAGCATTCAAACAGGGGCTAACATGACCATACTATAGAAGCGATTCCTGTATCAGAAAAACACGGATAAGGACTTCCTGACTAAGGTTCTGTGATTTGGGGTCAATGGGGGAGAAGACTATCGAGGGTATGGGGACTTGCATGACACAAGGTCATCGCATCCTTTGGAAGGACTTACAGGTGAGAGGAGACGAGAACTCATTTTCCTTACACATTCACTAACTCTTCACAGGGTGAGCTTTGCTGCTGTGAGCACCCACCTCTCTGCGTAGCACTCGCCTTTGTTAGCACAGGCTGTGACCCCAGGAGCAGGAAGATAGCCCACGCTGTCACGAGGGCGGGCAAGACCTGGAGGCTTGCACCACGGAGGAAGGAAAGGGGCACAGAAGGAAGGGGGCAAATCTGCAAAACTGCTCTGGGTTGTCACTTCCCCGGGAGGGCTGGTGGTGGGAGGGTCAGGGTCATGGGTATGTGACTCAACACCTCCCATGACCTTAGACATTCTTGCAGAGTTGTGGGTGAGAGAGAAGACTTCCTAATAAAATCTCAGTAAAGATGTCCTTTATTTATTTTTTTTCCAGCTGCCTCCACCCTCAGGACCTTGACACTGGACAACCGTGGCTTCCCTACATCAGAGTCTGAGCAATAGATGTTTCCAACATGACCTCTTTTCAACTAGCGGTCAGTTTTTGGGCAATTCAAGGAAGGGTTGTTGGTGGATTCACTCTTAAAACTGAAAACTTTTGAGGAACAAAGCAAACGTACTGGTAGGAATTTGCAAAACAGCCCAACTTCAAAGCATGACGTGCAGGTGAGTCATTAGGGTTCAAACGGAAATCTTGGAGCACTCTGCATGCAGTCACCCTTCTGGCTGGAGGCATGCCTTCTGCTGTGTGCGGGGAGGTTGCTACGTCTTCAAGGGCTCGAGTTTACTCCGTGTGTGATTACATTTCAGCACCTCTTACCTTGGGTGATTTACAGCCTGTAGGCCCTGAGCCTACATGTTCAACTTCACTTCTAAAGAGCTTTTGTGTTGCCATAGAAATTAATTGCTAGCATAGTGCAGTGGAGATTTACACTGTAAAATGGCCAAAGCTTTCTAATAAGGACCCTGAGTTGAAACCTTTCCTTCAGCAGGCAGAGAAGAGAGATTTCAGAGAAGGAGCTTGCTTCATGACTTCCTGGCCTGTGACTGGGCAGCAGTTCACCCTGCCATGTAACCTAAACGGTTTTATCACTGGATATGGACAAATGGAAGGTGTGACTTACGAAAGATGAAATCAGGCGTTACAAAGAGGTGATCCAGAGCCTAAGTGTCACGCACACAGTAGGTGCTAGGTGGACTCTTGTTTAAATGACTACATGGGAGAGAGAACTACCAATCACTGGAACGGGCCTGGGTATTCAAGTGCTTAAGGCAACTTGGAAACTGTATGCTTCAGATGCAGCTTAGAGCTTAGATACCCCACTCTCACTTTTTAAATGTTGATTTAAGATACTCATTCTTTATATAAAGTGCCAAGGTAACTCCAACTCTGTTTAAGCTTTCAAATTCCAAATTAGTTAAGTCTGAATTAATGGGACCTTGATGTATTATCGCATGGGTGCTTTAGGCATGATGTATAGGCTGAAGTACCCTTAGCAGCTGAAATTCAGGTTTGCTAACTTCAAATTTAAACCATCCACTTATCCGACTAAGGCTTCAAACACTTGAGGAATCATAAAGCAACAGCCTGCTTCAATATACAAAAAGAATGGAAACCAAGTTTGGAAGTTACAGCAGTAGAATCTGCAGACCACACTGTCTTTTCGTGAGAAAGCGCAGCAGCTAGTTTGGAGTGTGAGGACTCCGCTGTTTGTGAACCTGCTGGCAGGGCACAGTATCCTGAGAGGATACACCCTCTAAGTCCTCCGGGGCCCCTTCTTTCCACCCACGAGGCCTCCCTAAGCAGCACCAGAGACCCTCTCGTTTTGCTGACCAGCTCAAAAAGAAATGACCAGCTCAAAAAGCATATAATCCTCCACACCAATGTGGGCTGTGCACAGTGACTTCTGTCCAAAGACAACAGTGTAGAGGGAAGAGCAGGCAACTTTACTGTGGAGAAACCCGACACACACTCTCCTTAGGCCAGGTGGACAAGATCAACGCCAACAGCCACAGGTCATGCTGACGGTAGGCAGCCTTGCTGTACGTGAGGGAATGGCACTTTACCTGCAAAGCCATCACCCCAGTCTAATCATGAGGGGGGAAAAGCAGACATATTCCAATAGAGGGCATCCTACAACATCCATGACCAGTGCTCAACATTGTCAAGGTCCTCCTCAGCAAGGGAAGTCTGAGAAAATGGCCCTGGCATGGGGAGCCCAAGGAGGCATAACTAGATGTAATGTGGCATCCTGGAGGAGATCCTGGGACACAGAAAGGACACCAGGCCTACACTCTCCCTCTCCCTCTAGAATACCTGGGCTCTTCAGAAGATACAGAATCTCTGACATTTAATGTCCAATTTTAAAAACTGCTAGACACAGTGGTAATCAAGCCCCTACCTGCAAGTTTTTCTTCTTCCTAGTACACATCCATGACCATAAAAGTATAGTTTAATAAAACCTTTTAAAAAAGAGACAAAAAAAAAGGGCTAGCCCAGGAGGTTTGTGAAGATTTCCCAAAAAGAGGTAATGCCACTTGAGCCAGGTCAGCCCGAGTAGGCACAGGCATGGTGGCAGTTCTTAAATGAGGCAAGGAGTGGGGAGGAGAAGCGAGGGGAGAGATGGGGGCGGGGGCAGATGGTGAGGGGGCTTTTCTGCAGCACCAAGATCCCTAAACAGTGAAATGACCAGAGCAATGACCAGAGTTAGGGTTTGTTGTTGTTTTTTTTTTAAGATTTTATTTATTTATTTGACACACACACAGACAGAGAGAGACAGTGAGAGAGGGAACACAAGCAGGGGGAGTGGGAGAGGGTGAAGCAGGCTTCCCACCCAGCAGGGAGCCTGATGCAGGGCTCGATCCCAGGACCCTGGGATCATGACCTGAACTGAAGGCAGACGCTTAAAGGCTGAGCCACCCAGGCGCCCCTAAAGTTAGGGTTTAGAAAGGTTGCCGGTAAGAGTTCAGACTGAGAGAGAGAGAGAGAGAGAGTGGAGATAGATAAGTGCATGAGAAAACTCAGAGTCAGGGTGCAGAAGTGAGGTTAGGTGCCTTCAGTCTGCAGACTGCGGGAGCCGCAGCACCAGGGCCTGAGCGGCCTTCAGAATTGCAAGGTGGCATCAGACAGGACTTACAACTCTGAGGGTACTTAGGTCAGAGCCATATAAAGGCAGATAGAGGCCTGCGGAGATTCACCCTCACACGGAGGGTAATTCTCTTGAAAGCGGGGAGTACGGGCCGGAGAAAGCTAATGGGCAGCGTTCAAGCTACGCCTCCCATTATGGCGCACCCTGGCCATGCACAGAAGGGCGACTACAGGCATGTGTGTGGAAGCAGGACTGAGGGTGTGGGCAGCCTGCCGGGCCATGAACCAACATAAAGATCGCATACTGAGTCAATGTCTGCTGCTCAAGAAAAGAGACAATGTCACTAGTATGTAAAGGATGACTTTTATTTCCATCCTAAATGATTATCACACCATTATTTAAACACATTTGAAAAATCCTGAAATAATTTAAACCGAAGGCACAGAATAAATCAAAATATTTGAACTATTTACGCTTAAGATGAGAAAATTCAAATATTTCAACAGTAACAATAAATTATGAACAAGTTTCCATCACCAAATATCATTCTGACCAAAAACTATCATGTTTTGTAATAAAACCAAATTAGTTCAAGCAGAGTCTGAGATTTCCATGATAAAAATAAAGTCGAAAAAAGTGTCTTCTTTCAAAATACTCATTATATCCCCAGGTTCAATGTAAGTATTTTATATATAACAAAGTAGCCATTAGGATATTTGTTGATGGATGGCCACTCCCCAAGGAATGACATATTCTTACAAAATGTTTAAAAAAATAGCAAAGTAGGATATAAAATTTCTATTTGGGGAGCAGGAAAAAAAAAACTTGTTCCATGTCAATTAGAATATCAAAGCATTTCAATACCAAATTGCTTCAAAAGCCAATCATCACATAACAGTAATATACTGTATGGGGCATTCCACTGTATCTTGGTTATATGTTGACCATACAGTGTAGCTAAGGGGTTGGACAAATCAGTAGCAATTACTATTGCCATTTCTTATTTATTCAAAAGCGATATGTTTAAAAAAAAAATCACTAAAAAACTAACAGGAATAATCAGTGACATGCTACAGACACAATAAGCCCTAGCAATACAATTGCCAGTTTGAAAATAAAGTGGTCATGCTTCATAATATACTGTAGTGTTTTTGAAATACATTCTCTGATAATCAATACCATTTATTACAGAGGGCACTTGTAAAGGAGCTCAGATTCATGCTAGGTTTCTAAGTGAAACTCTTTTCAAGTATGCATAATATTAAGAAGGTAAAGAAATTTTGATTTTATTCGCTTCTTTATGCGTTCTTCCAAGGAACAATCAAGTGGAATGAAGGACTAACAAAATGGGCTGGTTGTAGTTTTCAAAAGCATTTAGAAAAATAAGAAATAGCCTCGTGACCAAGAACTGACTGAAAGATATTAACATCTAAAACCTACTATTTTAGATAAAAATCCAGGCCTTTCCAGTCTTTTTCTTGAAATAATTAAGTTCACAAGAAATAATGGGGAAAAAATAAGGATTTCTAAAACACTGAAGGCTCTTCTCGGAATGAAATAAAAAAAAAGTATACCTTCTCCTACACTGAGCTGCGATATAGATCAATGTGTGGAATAGCAACACGGTTTTATCTTGTTTAACTACAGAAATCACAAAAAGCATGTACAGCCAAGACTGCTGATAAGTACAATACAGACTCTAGAAAATGAATTTTAGCAAAATCTGCTTCAAAATTTCCCTGCATAACAAAACATTCCTTTGGAAAGGAATCTTTAATGCTTCCGGACTTCTGCAAGCAAGTGTGGCTTTTACCATCTCCAGCACTAAACTATAGTTACTTCCCAAATGCCTCTGTCAATGGAAAACGTGACCTTTGATTATCTAGTATTCTAATTAATGGTACATTATTCTTTAAAAAGCTCTTTAGTAGTGTGAGACTTCTGTCTTCAGCATCTATGAGTACTAAGAAATTAAAGGAGAAACAAAACAGTCAGAAATATCACTTTATAAACAGTATGAAGTTTTGAAATGTTGGCACTGATGGGGAGAAAATGGGGAAGGGCTACCGCTAAACTGAAGTACATCTTCATCCGTTCGTGGCGCCGGCTGCACCAGGGGCAGCGAATGGCACAGCTGCGGGCTCCACCGGCCCGCGCGCTGGGACGCGAGCCCACTCTGTGATTCGGGCGGGAAAACCAAGGACCACCCCGTCCTCTAAGCCAGCTGGCTAGATCGCAGCCTGCGCGCACTTCTTTCATTATTTTAGGTCACATTCTGACAATGGAGAGTCTGAATTTTGAAAATACGAGCTTACAAGGGTTAGTGGAAGACCAAGCTAAAAGAAACGTGGCTAACTGGAGGAAAGCCGTTTTACTAATAACAAAAGGACAATCTCAGTGGTTTTGGGCCCTGCAAACACCAGCTGTGTCTGTAGCTCCTAAGCAGAAACACAATCCAACGAAAGGGGTTTCTTTCCAAAGCCTAAAAAAGGAAGATGTTCGACTCACAACTGATTTCAAATCCTACACCAGGCTTCCAGGCCAGCAGGTAACTGTCAGAGTGACTTTGTTCCTCTGCTCCTTCAACATGGGAACTAGTGCGGAGTGGCTCATGCCCACCGTTGACAGGCCGTTGACGGCTACGATCATATCTCCACATCTGGCCAAAGACAAACAGAAACGGGCTGTTAACTATCTTCATGCAATTAGAAAACATTATCCTAATGGAGATTTGTTTAGCACGAAATTCACAGCTTCACTTAAGCATCAGCTGTCAATGATGAGTGTATATTTTCTACTTTGCAAGACATCTGGGGCAATTTTTAAGCCTGTATTGGCCTTCCCTTGCCAGTCACGGGGCACCCCTGGGCCCACCCCTCCTCTAACTGCTGGGTGATTTTGAGGGCAAGCAAAATAATTTTCATGTAAGCTTAAGCAAAATGTAATTAGGAGAATAAATGTGCTGGCTCTTTAAGAAATACTAAATAATGCATTCGGAGGGGTTGCTTATTATTTTGACGGTTCTTTCCCTGTTCATTCTTAAAACTCATACATTTGAGGGTTCAATTACGTTGAGAATAAGACCCACACCTCCTCTTCTCTCAGCTGCTGCTGCTTGCTGTCCTGACAGGATTATCATAAATGGATGATAAATCTGAAGGCCTTTCTCTCCTTTATGATTTTTGCTCTTTAGTTTGTAATAGCAATATGCTATTTTATTGTTAGCTACTTCAATTTTTTTGGAAGTAGGTGGAATGCAGATTATAAATTAATTAACTGAGACCCAGATTGGTTGAGTAACTCAGCTAAGAGAATGGTTAATTCATTTCCCCCCTACTCTTTCCACCTAAAATACTGATTTTTTTCACCCATCTCTGTCAATGTAGTAAGACTGATCGGGAGCATACTGACCCTGATCAACTTTTCACAAGACTATTAGGATGGCACTTTGTCTTTGTGATCAGTATACACTCTCCATTTGTGTGGCACTCTAATATGTCAAGTTACTTTTTAAGAATTGGCTCTTCCATCAAAAAACCAAGCACTAAGACCTTACACTAATCCATTTCCTCTCTGTTTGTAGAATCTCTTGATCTAACACCTCTTTCTTCTCCCAGTGCCTGAGCTTTGATAAAGGAAAGAGGCTGCATGAGGTTGGCTGAGGACTTCCTGCCCAGAAGAGGGGTAAACAGCCCAGGCTCTGGAGAGAGAGTCCTGGGTGTGAACTGCAGTCAACCATTTCCAGCTATTTGACTGTGGGCAAGTTTCTTTATCTTTCTGAGACTTAGTTATCTCGTGTATCAAACAGGAATAGCAATGACAACACTCACCTCCCAGGGCTATTAAGAAGATTCAATAATACAATCCCAAGCATTTAGCACTGTGCCTGGCAGCTCTCACACATTCATTCATCAAATATTTATTGAGACCTTACTATTTATACAAGGCACTGTTACGCTGGCCAGGAATGTAACAATAAATGCAACAAAGCCCCCCCCCCCCAACATCCCTTCATGGAGCTTGCATAAATATAATGTTAGGTAGACATAAGTGCTGTGGAGAAAAACGAGCAGAGTCATCTAATGACAGGACTAGACCTAAAGGGTGTATGTGGAATGACTGCTCAGAGCTAGCTGTCATATCTCAATGTGTTGAATCAGATGACTCAGGTTTGGTCCCTGTTATTAGATTAGCAAAATAGAACTATCAGCTGCAAGATGGTCAAAGTGATGCTTCAGTCGAGATCTGGCTGGCACATTGTTTCTGTAAAGGGCCAGTTAGTAAACAAGTATTTCAGTCTTTGTGAACCACATGGCCTCTGTCACAATGACTCAACACTGCCACTGTGGCTCACAGGCAGCCACGGAGGATGTGTAAGCAGACGAATGCAGCCACGTTCCAGGAAAACTTTATTTACAAGGAAGGACAAAGGCTGGGTCAAGATTGTGTCCATCACAATAAACATAAATCACATTATCTGATTATCACAAGACTCACTTTAATCTTCCATCATAATAAGCAGGAGTCCCCAAGACGATGGTTTTAATGAAGAAAGGCTGATTGGTGTGGTTCTCTTCATATCCACCAACAATACTAAAGCCCCAACTTCCCAAGTAGCTTCTTCGTAAAACTATATCATGGCAGCTATGAAGGGCACTATAACAAACACAAAGATCAAGAAAAAATTAATGGGGAGGCTTTTATACCCTGTTCACCTTTGTTGTAACTCCATACTTATCACTGCTGGGAAACGAAAAAGGGCTACTTTATTTCCTTCTGAACACATTATTCTGACAACCCATTTTCTAGCAGACTCAGTCCTAGGTAGACTGGAATTTCTCCAACATTTTTCGGTCTTCTTTTCCCAAGTGAACACACACACACACCCACACACAGAGCTAAACACGCCTGGTTACAAGTTACACCACAGAAAGTCGTATAAAATGGTTCTGTGCCTACGTTTGCCCTCTGCACTGTCAACAATGTCCTCAATTTGGATATCCATCTGTATCTACAGAGTTTGTACCTACAAAATGGTGGTACAGAGGGGACCCAGTCCTGCTAATCTCAGCACTAAAATGACAGAAAGGTAGAAAACTTTCTTTTTAATCTATGTGAGGAGTTATTTGTTGTTCTTTCCTCCTTCCCTTAAAATGCACTCATGTTAAGGGAGACAACTGACAAAATAGAGAACTCAATCTAGACAACACTAATGAAAATCATCTCTTCCTTCCCCCCTCCCCTTTTTTATTTTTAACCAGGGACACTGAGATGCTTCAGTTAAAATGCCACTGTCAGTTGGAAGATGTGACACGTCAGAGTTCGATGAATAAAAACTTAAAAATAAAAACAGAAAAAAACCCCACCTAAATAATATAGAAAAAATATCTCTTTATATGAAAGAAGTCTCTTTCATTTTTAGAGGAAATTGGATCTAGTCATCTAAGGCAAGGTTTCCTGTTTTTAATCTATTAAAAAGATTTCTTAATTCTGTAAGCGATATACGAAATGCTAGAACTTTTAATCTGGTCCAGTTTCTTAGCTCACCGATAAGAAAGGGCTTTTAAAAAGGCTTCTGGCATAGAGCAGGGTCCCAGGCATTAGCCTGGTATTTTAGAGACGATACAGATTATTTTCATGATTTTGAATCTTCTGCAAAAAACAATCAAAACAACACAACACAAAACAAGTAACTGTTTTGTCTGGTACACCCCTAGCCAACTGCAGAGGAAGAACCTCCCTTTTCAGAAAGAGCAGAGCTGCTACCCTGTGTGATGTGAAACCTGCTTGAAGGAGGTTTCTGACACGTGGCCCTTCTGACATGTGGTTGTGAATACAGGTCTGCACACAACAGAAGACCCCCCAAGACTCCACAGAATAGTGACCGTTGATTGACAGATACTCTTTCGATACAGGTGGACCCCAAAACAGATTTTACTATCCCGTGTATTTTTCATCTGAAATATTCATTAGTCTTCCTGGTACACCTGAAAATGCTCTGAAGACAAGAGGTAAAGAGCTGACCACAAAGCTAGCCTGGAATACGAGATAACGAGAACCAGATAAGAAACCCCAGCGCGGCACAGCGCCAGTGTCTGCCTGGCCACCAGCAGCCGTGCGCATGTGCAAGGCCGCTGCACAGCAGGGGAGACCACTTCTCACCCACTAGTGTGGGAGGGGGCCTTCCTGACACGCTAGGTTTCAAGTGACAGGTCAATGTATTGGGCTGAGTACTTAACAAGATCAATGAGTTCCCTCTGATGGCTGACATCTCACCATTAGGTAGCATGTCTGCAGTTTCTTAGCAACCGTTTGAATCGATCCCTACAGGTCCCTGAGACATGAATTCTATTACAGTTTTAGGCCTTTTTGGTCTTTTTCAACCAAGAGGACAAGTCAGAAAGTTAGATGATTGACAAATGAATTCCATTCATCCTTGCTTTCTCTGCTACTCTTTATGTGAAAGTACTTTTCTTTAGTAAATCATATAGAACTATACAAATGCTAGTTACTACAAATTACATCCAAATGAAGCTAGATGGCTCAGAAACTGGCGTTCCTATTGTATATTTTTATTTTAAAAAATCAGTCATTTTCATACTTGGCTCAGAGTCAAAATGTTTCATCATAGTTCAGTTTTAGGATTCCTCTACACATTAAGAATCTAAAGTGATCTGGAAACAAAGAGAGTAATACACATTCTTCCTATCTCAATACCAAATTATACAACCCTCAGGAGGTTGCAAACACTTTCATGACCAGACAATGACCACTTGCAGAATGTCTTGGCAGGTGACAGTCCCGAAGCAGTGAACTCTTCACTAAGGTCACGGTGAGGGGCACCTATTCTTGAACACCAATGGTTTGGCTTAAATGTCCAATAAAAACTGAGTTTTACAACCTGCCTTTTTAGGGAGAATTAAAAAGATTAAGAAAGGGGTTTTAGAAAAGCTTCTGGAGTAGGGAAAGGCCACACACTTTGACCTGGTTTTTCTGGTGAAAAGTGCACATGAAGTCTAAGCATGTATCGGAATGCATGGTGGTAAATGACAGCTTTTCTAAAGCAAGAGACTGAACATGGCTGGTCCACTTGAGAACCTTAATAGGAATGGACAGAACAGCTTTATTCATTTTTACAAACAGATATAGTAAGTCTTTTTAGCCTAGTTCTTATTATTAAACTTAACTTACATTTTTTAAGAATGTTTTAATTTTTTAAAAATTAAAAAAAAATTTTTTTTTAAAAACTCATGACCCTGAGATCAAGACCTGAGCTGAGATCCTGAGTTGGATGCTTAACTGATTGATTCACCTAGGCACCCCTTAAATTTACCTTTTAAAATATAATATTCTAAGAAAAAAACACCACTTTCTTTTGTAACTTGATATGCCATTGCCACTTTTATCTCTGACTAGGGCCTTCCCCCCGCCCAGATGAGTGAATTTACCATGTTACACACTGAGAAAGGTTGTCACTACGATTATTCCATGAAACCACCAAAACGTTGTCAGTACCTTGGAAGCCCAAGCCACATGACCCATGATGGGGACCAGCTGGCGTCATATTCATTCTCACTGAAGGTGCCGGGCTGCTCTTCAGTGGCCTGGGATGCCTCCTCGACAATCTGGACCTCAAGTGCTTTCAGGACAACAGCGGGGGATGCGGCACTGGCTTTCAGCATAGCAACGGCCTCACTATGACTTAAATTGGTCAAATCAATGCCATTGATATTCAGCAGTATATCACCTGTCCAAATGAACAAACAAGAAAAATGAGATGAGCTACCAAGTCATTATCTTCCCTGTACATCTGTTATTTGTAATTTTTTCACTTCTCTGTCATTGTTACGATACCAAGGGAAAATCCAATTCATGGAAAACATTCCAAAACAACTCAAAACCTTAAGATAATTTCATCATATATAGGAAAAAGTGTGGCTTGAGGCACTGTGATTCGACAGGAAGTCCAAATCATTAGACCTAATTTTGCTATGTGCAGGACCTGGGCATGTTCATTTCTCTTCTTTGGGCTTCAGTGATTTCTATAGTTCTTTTCTGCTCAAAAATTATTTGATCCTTTGCTCTTAGAAATGAATTTGTAATATATCCTGTCTTATAGTTACACAGTTTTATACATAAAGATAGCCCTACATAGTTTGCTCAGCGCTAACATATCAGAATACTTAAAGAGAAGAGATCCTTGGGACCACACAAAGAAATGAAACTTGTGATTTGAACATCTTCTCTTGCTTGAGGAAGAAAAAAAAGTGTTTGTTGCCCTGCCAAGTAATATAATAAAAAAAGGGCAACGAGGATTATGTAAAAGGTTAGGAAGGAAAAGTTTAGTTTTGTAGGTACCAAGAAAGCCTATGGAAAGTTCTTCTCTCCCAATTCATCACTTATTTTTCAGATTATGAAAACAAAACATTCTCATTGCAGAAAACCTGGAAAACAAAATTACCCTAAATCCCACAATTGGGCAAATAACATTTTTAAAAAAAAAATTGCAGCCTTATGAAGGTATAATTCATATACCACTCATTTTAAAGTATACAACTTTTGGTTTTTAGTACAAACACATTGTTGTGTAACCGTCACACATCATTTTTAGATCCCTCCCCCCAAGAACCCTGTATTCACTAGCAGTCACTTCCCATCTTGCTGCACACCCCCCGCCCCCAGCCCTGAGCAAACTTGAACTATTCTACTTTATGTCTCTACAGATTTGCCTATTCTGGACATTTCATATCAATGCAACCAAACATGGTCTTTTGTGACTGGCTTCTTTCACTTAGCATAATCTTTTCAAGGTTTATCCATACAGTAGCTTGTGTTAATACTTCATTCCTTTTTTTTTTTTTTTTTTAAATACTTCACCCCTTTTTACGGCCAAATAACATCCATTGCATGGACATAATACATCATGTTGATCCATCCATCAGGTAGTGGACATATGGATGATTTCTACTTTTTGACTATTATGAAAAATAACGTATAAGTTTTTGGGTGAGATGTACATTTTCATCTCTCTAGGAACAGAATTGCTGGGTCATGTGGTGACCCTGATTTTAACTTTTTGAGGAACCGCTAAACTGTTATCCAAAACAGTTGGACCATTTTATGTTCCCACTGGCAATGTCTGAGAGTTTCAATTTCTCCACATCTTTGCTAATATTACAATATTACTGTCTTTTTTATAATATTCATCCTACTGTGTATGAAGTGGTTTTGACGTGCATTTTCCTAATATCTAATGACACTGAGCATCTTTTCATATGATTTTTGGCTGTTTGTGTATCTTCTTTGGAGTAATGTCTATTCAGATCCTTTGCTCACTGAAAAACTGGGTTATCGGTCTTTTTTATTACTGAATTGTAAGAATTCTTTATGTACTCTAGATAGGAGTCCTTCATTAGATATAACGATCTGCAACTATACCCTTCCATTCTGTGGGTTATCTTTTCACTTTCACTATCTTTTTGCTTTCTTGGTGGTGTCCTTGGTAGCACAAAAATTTGTGATTTTGATGAAGTCCAGTCTATCTATTTTCTTTACTGTGTTGCATGTGTCCTGATGTCATATCTAAGAAAACCGACTAATCCATTACCTAATCCAAGGTCATGAGGTTTTATGCTTGTGTTTTTTTCTAAAAGTCTTAACTCTTACTTTTTTTAAGATTTTATTTATTTGAGAGAGAGAGAGAGAGAGAGAATGAGAGATAGCACGAGAGGGAAGAGGGTCAGAGGGAGAAGCAGACTCCCTGCTGAGCAGGGAGCCCAATGCGGGACTCGATCCTGGGACTCCAGGATCATAACCTGAGCCGAAGGCAGTCGCTTAACCAACTGAGCCACCCAGGCGCCCCTTAACTCTTACTTTTAGGTCTTGGATCCACTCTAAGTTAATTTTTATATACTATGGGAGGTAGGGATCCAACTTCATTCTTAGAAAAATAGCTTTTAAGACTCACTTTCCCATATGAACAAACCAAGTGTATGGAGAAAGCTCTTTTCACTACTACCACCCCTACCTCTACAAATTGTACAGTACTGGTGGGGGGTGGGGTGGGGCAGGGAATGTGAAATTATGAGTGAGTTAATCCCTAAAACTGTATCTTTTTATTAAGATTGTCTTCCACTCTACCTCTTCTGTGAGACCCCTCCTACATAGGTACTTTATCATGTAAGCAACATCTGTTATTTTAGTGAGATAGTCCTTTAGAGTATCCAGTCTGCCAGGATGTGAGAAGTGTTAAATCTTTTAGAGGGTCTTTTCCAACAGAAAATAATCCAATGATCTGAGTAAACATTAGAAAATAATGGAGACATCATCAAACTGCCGCAACTTTCCTTCACATTAGGCGTTTTTCTACCTTACAGAGAGGTTTACACTTATATATGAAGGGACATTTTAAAGGATTAAAAAAAGTCATGTTTTAATAGAAAACTTTCTAGATACTTATTTTTTCAAACATGAGCTGAACGCAGGGAGATGTGGTGAACCTGGTCCCGGCCCTGTCTTACCTCTCCTGACGCGGCCGTCACGTGCAAGGCAGCCATGAGGTGGCACGCTGGTCACAAAGATGGGCAGCTCACCACTCTTACTTCCTCGGCCCCCAGCCACTGTCATTCCCAGGGACTCGTGTGGTTCCTTCTTTACCGTAATGTGTTTTTCTTGGCACGTAACACACTGGCTAAGATCCTAACACATGAGAGGAAAATTTATTGGATAATACATAATACATAGCTGAAGTAAAGTAAAGGAAACTGAAGGAAAAAGTACCATGACAATGATGAAGTCATTTTTAAAATCACTTACTATAGAAGTAATACACAGTTCTTCGTGGTATAAACACTACACCAAACACTGGGGATCACAATGTCAAACTTTGGACTGCTGTATTTTCATATGACTATTTATGGAACGGAAAAATCTCAGGACTGCTGACATATGGAAGTCAAGATAAAAGAAGCACATCATTTGTATAACTATCTTGGGCTCCAAGATATGATCCATTCTACCAAAGTAAATAATGAATTTATTCTGAATGCATTCTGATTCTGAAGACAAGCCAATTAATTTTATTTCCATCTCTGTCCTCTGTTCTTTGAAAGAAATGCTGACAGAATAGTACAAAAGTGCGGATTTCATTAACTTCCAGAAAAAAGCTACAGATCTCTCTTCTGTTTCTTACTCATGAGGATTATCAGAATGCTCAATCATGAAACAGGTGCAAAGTGATCTTCAAAACCTTCATGGAAAGCTACAAAGATATGAAGTAACTGAATTTTTTAAAAAGTTAATGAAGAGAAAAAATTCCCAACAAACTATGTTCTCAGGAAAAAGCAATTTTTACTGACATTTATTGTTGCTACTTATGGAAACACTCCTAGAAGAAAAGGAGAATTTAAAACATCACCTTTCTTTTTAATTAGAATGCAATAAAAAACAAGGTGTACATATGCAACATCAACATTAAAACAGCAACAGTAACTACCATGTATTGAAGATTTACTATATGTGTAAAGTGAATGGCTTTACATACATTATTTCGTTTTAATCTTCACAATGGTCCTGAATGTAAATCCTATTGTTGGCCCCATTTTATAGATGAGGGAACAGCCTTAGAAAGATGTGATTTGCCCCATATTATACAGCTACATGTGACTACACTCGGATTTGAACTGATTCAAGTTAAAAAAAAATTACATACACACACATATGTAGTATGTGTATATACATATACATGTATTCATATATGGTTTGTGTATGTTCATATAGCACGATGCACTATGTATATACTGGTTATACGCATCCACACTACAAGGGCACTATCCCATTAAATGGAACAATGGAAGTTAATATCTCAAAAGGTTCCTAACACTTATCAACTGTAAGAGCGTACTGTAGATAATAAGATAACTTTAAAATGATTAACAATATCAACAACAGAATTGTAACATTTCCTTTAGTGACACTACTTCAGAGTGGACAGGTACCTATCTGTTAATCAAGCCCTGGAGCTGCAGGCGCATCTGCTCTTCTCTGGTCCTGGAACCCATACTCTTAAAATTTTATTAAGGTAACTACTTATTGTCAACATCCTAGAGTTCCCAGAACTTTGACCTCGTAGAAAACCTGTAAACGGCTAAAGGTGGTATGCCAACCTTATGACATCTATGTTAGCATCCTGCAAATCTGGGCAAGACCCATGTTATTTTGAAGACAATCCAGGTAAACTCAGCGGTGAGTACATTTATTTCAGCAGTTTTGGCTGTCAGGTATTTAATCAATTAGAGGCGGTTGTTTTATTCCTCTATTTGGCTGAGATGTATGCATTTTAGCCAAACTTCACCGATTACACTTGGTACGCTTCACGGAAACTTCTAAGGGCTTAACACCACATGAATGTTTATCCAAGCAGTTATGCAGAGGCTTACTAGTACACTAATGTGCACTTTAATTTTTAACAATGATTATCCTCTGAACAGATTGTTTTGGTGAATCTGTGTTTGTTTTCCCTAGGAGACCTTTATTTTTCTAAATCAGGACTTGGCATAACAAATGCTGTATGTTAACACTAAATTGTTAAATTAATGCTTAAAAGTACATTTCTTGTGGTTGTTCCAACCAATCAGGTTTGTAGAGTACCTAGAAGAATTCAGCATTGCTATTTAAAACACTGCCACATAAAATTAAAGAATAAGAATTAGTAAAAAGAAAAATATATGTGCCTAAAACAAATAAAATGACATAAACAGTTCTCTATATGAATGTTGAAATGATTAAGTAGTTTTTAAAATGTCTTAAAATTGTAGTGTCTTCGGACCCCCATATTTCAAATTACTGTAGAATTCACTGATATAAAAGATTCAATGATCAACTTTTGCCTCACATTGTAATTCGTTAGGAATATGTGTATATACGTAACTTGTAAAGCAAGGACCAGCTATGCGAAACAATAACCACTTTTCATAGCCATCATTGTGAAAGCAAAATTAGAGGTTTCCTTCACACATTTCATCTTCTGTTCAAAATTAACAAGTTTGTGGTTATAATTTCTTAGAAGTATTAACTGAACCTAAGACCAGTGACAAGTCTATACTTCAGCTCAGAAAACCAGATAAACCCAATGGGCCAAAAATACTTGTGCCTTTAAGCAATGCGTTCTTGGGCACCTGTGACATTCCAGAGGTACTCTTTCAAACTGTACTTACATTAAGAAGCCACTTTAAGCTAAATATGAGCTTCTAAAGTTATTCTCAAGTAAAATTAAATTGCTTTACTAAATAAAAACTTATTGGTCAACTTAAAAACTATAGGAAGTTTCCTATGTGCAATTTTCACACAGTTGGTAAACAGCATTGCTTTAAAATGGCCTAGTGGAAGTTGAGTTCAAATGAAAGATCAAATGAAGTAAATAATACTGAGAACACAGTAAAGTACCACTGTTTTTGATTTCTACATCTAAAGTGAGACAGCATCAAAATTCTCAGCACAGATAAATGACCTAGGAATATATTATAAAAGTGGTGAAAGAGTAAAGATGCAGAAAACGCTCAACGTAAGGGAATTTAAAATGATTTAGGGTAGTATTCCTATAAGCTATAACATAAAGAGAAATGCTTTACATGTTTTGCATGTACCTATCAGAATGTATGATTTATGCTTAATATTCAAATAGAGAATTCTGTTGTTGTAGGCAACCTGCCCAACTGCTAAGTATGGACTTTTCGATCATTGTCTTCATTATGCTTTTTCAATCACACAACCAATTGTTACATTTGAATGAGCAAACCAAGATAAATCCCACTTTAAAGAAGGACCAAACAAAGAAGTTTTTCTAGAAGATCAAACACTTCTTATCAATCACCTGGCAGGGGGACCTTCTTACTAAGAAACCACCCCTACTGGCTGAGGAACTGAGACTGTACAGTGACTCTCCAGGTAGCCAAATACACATTTCACATCCCAAACACTTGAGTTCATCTTTTCCAACAGAGTAACAGCCCTCATTTAAATCTTACCAGCTTGTAACAAGGACCCTTGAGGGTAGATGAATGAAAACATGCAAACACAATGCCTCACCTTATGTGAGCTGGGTCTGTTGTTATACAGCGGCTGTGCATGATGCTGGCTGCTACTCTGAGCTCCTGCGTCTCGGACAGGGTTACCAGGCTGGGATTTCCCTGGTCTAGCAATTGTTAAATCCACCCTCTCTCCACTAGCCTAGAGAAAACACACATACATAACCACCAGTCATTAATAATGCTTCTCACTTAGAAAATTATAGGGAGTATAATTTTCAGTGCACTTATCATCTCTGTACCAGAGCCTCACCTGAGTGGTGACAGCAGGCACCTGCTGGGTGGGGGCAGGAGGGGGGAGTTCATTTCAGGAGCTAATACTTTAAAACTCCTGCAGTTAAAACACCCAACACAGGCCTCTTGGGTAGGCCTTCCCTAACCCTGGAAATACCAAGGACATAACCAAAGCAAAGCAGTCAAAGGGTAATTGAAGGGTAACTGTCTTTTCGTTCTTCTTTCCCCTGCAAGACTGACCTTAGCACTGAGACAAAGAGAGCAAAGGAAAGAAGATAAAAGGAAGAACTGGTTCAAAACTGGATTAGAATCCTTTGTGACTTCTGAAATAAATTCCAGGGTGGCTACTTTGAGAGTGATAATCAATGAAACTATGTACAGCTTTGTTTCTGCTTGCTACAGGTTTAAATTAAAAATAGGGTATCAGCTTAAACAGTCCTGAAAAGAATGGTAACAACGGTCCTGTAAAACAAGATTAGTATTTATGTACATTGCATACTGTGTGCGTATATATATCACATACGTGCACACACACACAAATGTTATGTTAAATTATTTTGGAGGTTATGACTACCACCTTGAATTTAGAGGTCCATTATCTGTATTTATAGATCTATATTTGAAACACAGATTCACATCTATTGTATTTTTTAAAGCTATTTTATCTTTGCTTTTAATGTACAGGCCTGATCTATTTGATGCTGATTCTTGGTCATGACTACAAGTTCCCAAGTTTACTATTAATTCCTACGGTAAAATCTGACAGCTTGCTTTCAAGAAGCTATTGTGGAAAGTAGAACCCTCCCCCATGATGATAGTCAATAATGTTAAGAAATCACTCCATTTTCAGTTCTCAAGTTGGAAAATGAGTGAAAACCAATTTTTTTAAAAATATTTTATTTATTTATTTGAGAGAGAGAGAGAGAAAGAGAGAGAGAGAGAGCAGGGTGGAGGGGCGGAGGGAGAGGGAGAAGGCAGCTCCCCGCTGAGCAAGGAGCCCAATGTGGGGCTCGATCCCAGGAGTGACCTGAGCCAAAGGCAGCCGCTTAACTGACTGAGCCACCCAGGGGCCCAAGTGATAACCAATCTTAAGGCCCTATTAAAAATCATTTACTTATTCAAGCATTTCATTAAACTAGTTTCAGATAATTCTTCAAAATAACTGAAAGAGTAACACTACACATGCGGCCAGAGTCTGGGGACTTGATCTAACAGGTAAATGCCAAAGTAGAACATTTAGAATCCTGATATTTGAGATCCTGACACTTCCAATTATTAGATCACACAGTGCGAAGCGTGAGGAGCCCCTTTGTGATCTCATTTCAATGTACAGAATTGTTTGCTTTATTGCATAACACTCACCACCACCAAATACTCTATAATCAGTAATTGAGCTTTATTGGAAGGCCACTGCTTATGCAAACCCATTAACATTAACAAACAAATCCCTGATCTTTCTTGATTTCCTGAAAGACAAAATTCTGGGCGCATGATGGAAGTGGACATATAAGCTTTAAACGATGGTTCTACATTTTGGTTTAGGCTAGTTTTAAATAGCACATCTAACACTTCAGGGTTTCAAATACAACAAAAGAATTCTGTTAAAGTCAAGATTTTTAAAAATGCAGGATGCCTAAATGACAATACCTGTACTTCATAAAAAAGTGGTATGCCCTATTGCTGGGAGTATATATTGTTATGATCTTTCTAGAGGGAAGTTAAGCAAAATGTCTTAAACTTGAAAACAAAACGTTAAAGTCTGTCAATAGGGGAATGATTAAATAAGCTTTAGTACAACATGCCTCCTACACAGCTCTATCATGATGAGTCTATTTTCAGGGTAAGAAGTCCACAACACTGTGACATAAAGAAAGGTTGGCAAACTGAGAATCTGCAAGATGAGTGCATGTGTAAGTATCTACGTAAATATGTACCTATTTATTTGTAGTCCTCTACAGAAAAATGTAACGATGTTCTCCAAAATATTAACATCACTTTCTTATGGAGTTTAGATTGAATGTGATTTTAACTTTCTTCTTTATTTTCTGTATTTTGTCTTCATTAGTCTCCTTTTTAGACATGCAGTACGTGTTACTTTTAGAATCTAAAATAGTTAAGATTTAGTTTTTTCCACAAAGAAACAACTTGAGCAATACATAATATTTGATATTATATATATTATGAGGTATCTGTATCCTCTTTTTTTAAACCTCAAGTCTGTGACATGAGACCAATGCCTGAATCTCCCTCCTAATACAATATGGCTACCGGGTGTGTGTGTGTGCGCGTGTGTGCGTGCGCGCATGTGTGTGTATTATGGTTATAATGAACCAAAAATTTGTGAAAAGGAGTAAGTTAAATGGGATTGAGACTTGGGTTTTCTTATACAGTAGCTTAAATCTTCACTGATATTCAATTCTGTCTACTATACACATTTCTCAGTGACTATCGACCTACTTTAATTCCTGATGCTCCATTATGTTAATGCTTGGTTTCCTTTATGTAAGAGTGTTTTCTTGTGCTTACTTAAAAACACACAACAAAACAAAAAACCACACACATCTTTGTTTCAACCTTATCTCTGTAGGAGATATCCATCTCGTTAAATGCTGTGTCAGGTTACAGAACCGGAAGATCTGCTCTGGATGATTTTCTACTTTATATTAATGCTCTTATTGAAAAAAATTTTTCTAATAATAACAGTATATATACTGTAAGAACACAAGTTATGATGTGTTTGAAATGCTCTGAAAGCTTTATAAAAAAGGCACTATAGAGATCAAGAGTTATTCTTAATAAAAAATTATTTCCCCCCACTTGTATGGAGCTGAAGCAGAGAGGGAAAATTACGAAAGTAAGGTAAGAACTTTGGAGCCATAGCTCCTTCAAGCTTTGCTTATCTCACCTGTTAAATGTGGACACCCCCGTTTTTATGTCTGGGCCTAGGCGGAGCCCAGGGAGCAAATGAAAAACCCATGTGAAAATGTGGAGCCTTCACTCTATGTAAAGAGCAAGGCTGAACATCCACAGGGATACAGTTTTCCAGAAAGGATTCTACCTGTAATGAAGTTATACTATTGTGCATTTTGAAGGATTTGGGAGCCATGTTTGATTTCCCGATGAAATATCAAATATCCTTGGGATTCTCATGTTATGAAAACAGACATCGATATACAGTAATAAAGGCTGAGCATTTGGAATGAACATCTGGCATGTACCTGAATGATCTGGGCGGCAAGCTCAGGGGTCCCGTGCTTCAGGTCATGTCCATTGATGGCGAGCACTCGGTCATTGCTGCTCAGCCTTCCGTCCTGTGCAGCTAGCCCCCCCTCCAACAGGTCAAGAATAAAAACGCCTGCCTCATCGGTCCTTCGTACGAGTTTAATGCCAAGCTGTTCACCAGAGTCCCGTTTGTGAAGGACCACGTGGAAGACCTCTTCCCGTGGAGAGCTTCCATCGGAGTGGCTGTACGTCCGGTTCCCAAAGCGCCTCTCTCGCAGCACAGTAAGGTGCAGCGTGGTGCAGGGCTGGGAGAGGGCGGCTCTGGCATAGTTGTGAGATACATTGCTGATGTTACAGTTGTTGACCTGGAAGACAAGAATTATGACCAAAGTGTGACGATCTTTTATTTTCTCAACTTGTAGAAATGTTTATACACCATTTCCAAAAGAAACTAACTTTGGAAAATGACATACAGTCATTATTTATAAAGAAAAGCACTCCAAAGATGTTTTAAAATACACAGTTCCTAAGCTTCACTCAAAATGACTAGCATGAAGTAGAGAATGACAGCATCTCAGGCTTCAGTGATAGTGTTGAATCACAGTCCTTGGTTCTGCCACGTACTAGCGGGACGGATGTCCGAGTGTCTGTCCCCTCGGAGGTGAGATGGGTTTACTCTCCACTTCACGGGACCAGGAGGAGAATGCAGAGACAGCAACAGCATATGGCAAGGGCTAATGAAATACTAGTTCTAGTAGAACAGAAACTGAAGTTCTATTGGATTGAAGTGGCTTTTCCAAATGAAAAACACTTAAGCTGGAAAAAATACACTGAGTTTTATTTTAAGGACATTCCAGGTACACAACCTGATCTCAGATCAGTGATTTTTTACTTCAAAGAAAAGCAGGTAATTACAGTTTCACTCTAAGTGTTCAGCACTCAAGTGTAATATCTAATACAATAAGCGTAACTCAGTACTCACAGAACATTTATTTACTAAACCTTATGGCCCTAAAATGAGTACAGTGACTGACCTTGGACATGTAACATCACTAAGAAAATACACCCAGCTTCCATTATTCACCTAGTCAGAGGAAGGGGCTGGCACAATTCTTAGTATTTATCACAATTAGAATTCCTCTCTTCATCTGTCTGAAACAACAGTGAGGGTAAAATCAACATTCTCTGAGCATTGGTTATGTGGCAGGCTCTGGGTTAGGTGTTTGTGATCACCCAAATCCTTCAATCTTTTTCACATGAATCTATGTTAAGGAAGGCCTTCCCCCTTCCTATTCATCTAGGGTTGATGGTTTTGAGCACTAGTAACTTGAATTTTGTTGATTTGGGCCTGTTGACATCTTTTAAAATTCAGGCATCAAATATCATAGATATCACACACAGACTTGCTATTCTCCTAAGTTTGCAACATCTGTGCATTTGGTCGCCATCCAAATCCTTGATTAAAAAGTTGAATAACACAGGGTCAAGAACAGAACTTCAAGGCGGATTCTAAAAAACCAGCCTGACGTGGATTTGTTAGTCAAAACTCATCATTTCTGGTTATTCAGCTAAAAAGCCACTTATTTCTAGGTTTTTATTTTTCTATCTTAAACTCTCATCTGTCAAATGACTTTACAAACATCTGGCTGGAATCCAGCGATAGCCACGTGCAAGTATGTAGCTTCATATCATCTTTGTGATGTGGGTTGTGGAATACCCTACAATTAGAAGATCTTCCCTTCACAAATGCGTGGTTGCCAGTGAAACTCAGAGAAAGCAGAGACCAAATAAAATACTGTTTCTAGATTTTGTAAAAATAGCACCAACATAGTAAACTCTACCAAATCTTTAGCTAAATATATTTTGTACCAATGCAGTCAAGACATGACTGCAATTCTTTTCCTTCAAAACCAAAAGGGAATAAATCGCTGACAACTCAGATCACACTGACAGTACCTACTTTTTTTTTTTAATTATTATGTTATGTTAATCACCACACATTACATCATCAGTTTTTGATGTAGTGTTCCATGATTCATTGTTTGTGTATAACACCCAGTGCTCCATGCAGAAGGTGCCCTCTTTAATACCCATCACCAGGCTAACCCATCCTCCCATCCCCCTCCCCTCTAGAACCCTCAGTTTGTTTGAAAATACCTACTCTTAATAATGTTCTAAAATTTATATTATTTTTAATAGTGATATTGATGTAATTTCTTACAGTATTTTACTCTTCAAACTGCTCAAAATGCTGCACAGCAAAAGGCCCTGAGGGTATATGGTTCTCCTTTTCAAAGAAGTTATTTAATAGAGTAACGTGTATGCGTGTGTGCGTGTGTGTGTGTGTGTGTGTATGTGTATCAGGCAGAAAAACCAAAGCTACACACTGTTACTACATTTAGTTTGCTAAACTAAAAGCACAGGCTAGCTAGCTCTTTCATCTGTAAATAAACCATTTTAATGACTCTAAGGTATTTTCAAATTGGCTCACAGCATTATTTATGCAGCTTATACAAAGTGGAAGATAACCAGGTAGTAAAAAAATACCAAGTAGCCTTCTTTCCAAGTGTTTCCTTCTGAATGACCATAAATACTTCATATTTGGACAAGTGGTGTGGCTTTACTTATTGGCTCCAGCATACCAGCCAAAGGCCAATGAGAGAAGTCAGGCCCACAACAGGAGAGACCCTTTGTGAATTCACTAATCAGGTTATGTGCTCATAGTTTTCTTATCAATTTGAAATCATTAAATTGGATTTAAGATTGCCGTTATTAGAGTTATTAATACGTATGCCTCCATAAACAATAATAATGCACTGGAATTTCTACAATGCAGATTTATAGCTTTGAGCTAATTCCCCAAATTACAGCCAATAATTTCAGATAATTAGATTTTTATTTGAGGTATATGGATTCAGTTATGTTATTAAACAATTCTCCAGAGCAGACCAGTAAAAAAGCCTACAGACAAAATACATTAGCAAACAAAACCCGAAAACTAACCTCAATTATACTCAAAGAAATGCAAACAAGAACAAAGCATTTATTTTTACCTTTAAAATTCAGAAAAAGAATGAGAAATGTGTAAAAATGTTAGTATCTAAAGCTGGCACACTGCTGGTAGCAAAGAACAAAACACAAAAAAACAAATGTATATTCAAATTATAGCTAGAAAGGCCAGAAGTGGAGAAAAAAAGAACACTATGTAAGCTGCAGAAAGGGCAATCTGGTTCTTTTGGCCTTGGCCACCAGGGTGTCAAAATACAGGGCAAGGTGTCCAGAGAGCTGTGCCAACCTCACGCAACCAGAGTACTAACATCATAAAATGACAGCAAACACAGTAATGCCGTAAGTAGCTAGCTGTGGCTGGATCAGAAACTGGATTTTATATAAGCTGGATTAGTTATGCTTCCTGTATTCTCCTATTTCCTCTTAGGATTTAGTAAAGAACAAAACACTGGAAGTTCAGTCTGTGTCAGCCAGACTAAGTGCAATGAAGGAGGGGAGTGTTGAAGCGGAAATAATATACTGCAAGAGGCAGAATACAGATGGGAATGCAAAGCCAGGAGCCCCGAAAGGAAAGGTCAATCCTTGCTGCTCTGGGAACTTAGTCTTTTTTCCCCATCTGGACATTTCTTTTGAAGAGCTAAAAATCCTAGAGGTTCTAAGTTTTGTTTTAATGAGGGAGACAGCTATTCCCGATAGGATATTATATCCAAATCCACTCTTTTATTGATTCAGCAAATATTTCCTGGGCACTTACTCCAGGCACAGCACAGTGGGAGGTCTGTACCATAATATGTACCATTAAGGTGGCGGCAATCACCATAGAAAGACAGTGCATTTGAATACTTCTCTGTGATTGATTATGTGTGAAGTGGTGAAGAGAAAAGCAAGGAATGCTGTCGGCACCTAAAGTGAGGAGAGGTCTGAACAGGTGAAAATGGCAGGGCAGGGCTTTCAGGATGAATGTGGCGAAGCTGCAGCACAGTGGGGACAGGCTGGAACGTGGGAATAAGCTGTTTGGAGGGAAGCGAGGAGATTGCTAGGTCTGGTTTCTCTGCTAGATTATAAATTCCATGAGTGCAGGGGCTGCTTTCTGCTCTTAATTATACCCTCAGCTCCGAGCACCATGCCTATGACGTTTCAGCAATACACAAATGGCTATGGCTGAAAGTAAAAGCAAGGGTTAAGGTTGAGGTGACAGACCACAGACGACCCTATTAGATTAATCAGTCTAGACTTGATCCTCTGGTCAAATCTTCCCAAGGAAAGCAGAGTCACAGCTGTATTAATCTGGCAATGGTCGTGCCGGATTTCAGAGCAGACAGCAGGGAGGCAGGGATGTTGACTCTACTGGGTTAGACGTGAAGCAGTGAGGGCACAGACCAGAGAGGTGGCAGGGAAAACGGAAGGGGTGAATACCAACAGATGGTGAAAGAGGCAAGAGTCCTTGAGCTTGGGTTCCTAGAAGACATCTTTTCTCATTCATGACTATTTCTTCTCTCCTAAATATCCATTTTTTTTTTTTTAACTTCAAGTATCACACTTATCTGGGTCGTATATGCAAGCCAATTTTCACATAAACTCTCATCCTGTATAGTAAAATTCTGGCCATCCCCACCCCCTCAGTGTCAACATGCCCTCTACTATAACAGTATCTTGTCCTAAGCTAGTTCTTTTGTTGGAGTAGCTTTTTCTCCTTAAAGAGAAGAGGGAGAGGGTAGCATCAAGGGTTAGTGCAGAGTCAGGTTATTTGTGGAGGAGAACAAATTTGAGAGCCACAGCCAACAAGAGGTGGCCATGATTTCTAAATTCTATCTTAAGTTCAATGGTATAAGTTTTAAGTAACTTGTGCTGCATGATCTGTCTTTTCTAGATTACAGTAATCAGTGTAGAGAAGGATAAGTTAGACAACGAAGCTAACTGATGGATGGTACACTGGACTAGGGATACAGCCAAGGCGACAAGAGAATTTAGCAGTGAAGGTGGCCCTGAAATAGCCAACCAAGCCAGGAAGAATCCAGCTGGCCCAAAGAGCCAAGCACTGAGTTACACGTGGGATCAAATTTAAGATAGGGAGGAAAAAAATACATTCCATGTGTTTGGGGAAATCGGAGAAATTACAGATAAATTCTGATCTGTTTTGCATATAAAAACAGTAAAACTTACCTTTATATAATTCAGGTTCTGCAGTACCACAATTTCCTAAGTTTTAAATTTATGAATAAGAGCAAAGAAGATGCAAGTTAACAAAATAATTTAAAATTGATACCTGAAGAATCTGATCTCCAGCAAGGAGTCTTCCGTCTCTGGCGATTACCCCATCCCGATAGACTTCCTGGATAACAATGTTAATCAGTGGCGTTTCATTGCCGCCCACAATGCTAATTCCTAACTGAATATAAGGATTAGACCGGTGAATTTCAATCGTCGTAATTTCGCCTTCCGGTAAACTAACTGGCTGTTGTGTAGCTGCCAAGTTAAAAATGAGAGAGAGAAAAATAGATGGAAAGAACAACATTTTATATTTTGATTATCTTCAGGTAAGTAAGTTATCATCTATCATTAGTGATCACCTTATGTTAATAGATGATTAATAACAAAGCAATACCACTGGATAAGAAAAACAGAATGACAAAAAACATCTATAGGTTAAGATTACCAAAACACTTCCTCTTCTAAAGGTAATCAGTAAATAACCAACAAATAACCACTATGTATCAGATCACTAGGGATGACACAGTGATCTGATAAAGAAAAATACGGACAATGTCATCTTGTCCTAATTGATCAAAGTTTGACCCATGAAACAACTGTAAATAATGCAAGGCAGTACATTAAAAAAAAAAAAAAAAAAAGACGAACTCTGTGGTATACAATCACCACAGTGGTTGACAGAGTAACCAGATTAAGCTCTAAGAAGAGGAGGGTCTTGATCTGAGCATTAGGAGATGGAAAAAGTGTTATAGCCGTGGCCGGGAAAATTTGGATTTGGAGCAAAATTTGGAATGTTCATAAGAGAAAATCATATTTGAAAGTAAGACGTGGGCCAACTATCAAGATATGCCCAAGATCTATGACTAGAGGCTCTCTGCCTATTTCCTGCTGGGTCGTACAGACAGATCAGTGGCTGCTACCAGAGGACAGCATAGTCAGAAGCATGACCTTGGAGTCAGACACGTACGCAGCCATTTCCTGGCTCTCGGACAATGACCAGTTGATTTCTCAAGACTCAGTTTCCTCACCGTTAAAAGAATCCAGTACTGGTACAAGCATTTAATCAGTTAATATATGTCAAGTGCTTGGCACAGTGCCTGACAGAATAAGCACTTAGGCTGAGGTATTACTTTTGTTGTTCTCGATGTTGTGGATTTCTTAGTCAAGAAGCAACAGGCTTCAAAACAAACAAACAAGAAGCAGCCTATTAATGACCAGTGAATTCGTGGACTACAACAGAAGAGGGGCAGGGGGAAGGATAACCAGCCTCAGGGTAAGATTCACCTTCTGTTTCTAAACTGTAAACTGTTAGAGCTGTACACTTAAAGGGTGAGTATGCGGTATGTGAAGCCTAGCTCAATAAAATTATTTTCTGAAGAGGAAAAAAAAAAACAAAAAAAACAAAAAAACGCATGTCAGGAAAGTAATAGGGAGTAGTGGGAAGAAAGGAAATGTCTGATTTGCAAAGAGGGATGAAAGCCAAAGCAAGGTGAAGAGCACATACTGTCAGTGGCTGCGTTCTCCTCGAAGGCAGGATTGTCCAGGCCAGGCTCCTCAGTCCACACAGGAAGAGACGCTGACGTCAAATTGCGCTCAGCAGGCACCGTGCCTGTCCCCGAACAGTCCGTTTCAAGTGATAAAGTACCTGGTAGATCTATTACAGGGGTTCCGTTTTCATTCTCAATCTCTGTCTGAGTTTTACCAGTTTTCCTCCTCTCTAGGGCAAGTCTCCGATGAGAAGCTCCAGGACATCTAGAAAGAGACCATCAGGTGGTTCCCAGGTGATTTGAAAGGAAAAACGACTAATAGCTTGTGCTACAACAACAGAATAGCCATGGCTTCGATGCAAAACTCACCAAGAGTGTTGCCTTAGTTAAGTGTCAAGTTTCCCATTTGTAAAATATGTAGTATGTAATCCTGATTTTAACCTCTGCTCAAACTAAGTTCCTACCACACTGCAGAGCAAATTTAAAACAAGGCATAAGGCATGGTGGCTTCGTGCGTATTTCAAAGAATACTTCAATAAAAAACTGTATTCAGATATATACTAGTACTAGAAATATCCCGGTACAGTTGATACTACACTGCAAATATGATTCTGAAATTCTGATTACATAACCCTTTTTTCACAGGTCAAACGGCTTAACCACAGGAGTGGAAACAGCAGACTTCTTCCACAAAGTGCTCTTGCATCCCGACTTGACCCTGAGTGACACTGTGTCTTTTAGCTCTCACAGCCAAGGATATACATTCATTTATTAGTGAGTAGCAATACATTTGAAGCTCTGCCACTTGTAGGAAAGCACAGCAAAGGCCCAAGAGGTTGCATACAGTGGATGGTGGTCTTGCATCTAGGGCTGCAGACTTCATTCAACGACAATATTTTTAAAAATCTAAAATTTCATTAAAAATTAAGTACAGGATTAAATTCAATGAAAACTGAAAGCTATCTCTTAACTGTAAAAGTAATACATTTCCCCTCACAAACTAAGATAAGTTGTGGGTTTCAAGTTCTTGAAAAAGATCATTATGGAATTTCTTTATTCAGCTTTTTCTCATTCCTTGTTTTCTCATCACCTTGTTAAGAAAGGGGACAACTGATGTTTCCTTCTGCATTGTTGTGGAGCACTCCAGGAAATGTTCCTGCAAGGGCCTGATGAGTATCTTGGAGAACTGTATCTCTGAGAAAAATTATTTTTGTCAAGTAAGCAGATTTAATGAGAAATGCATTTTAAAAAATATTTCATTCAATAAAAAAATGGTGACAGAAACTGGATCACAAAAAAATATTTGAGACTAAAAATACAGGTAAAGATTCGATTCCCCAAATGCGTATGACACACTGGTATCCACATGGGAAACAGCTGGTCTTTGATAGGGAAATGGACTAGGAACAGGAAGTGGGGAGGAAACACAAGCAGAATGTACACAGCTGGGAGAGAGCCTAGCTAACATCTTATGCAAGAATAAATTTAAAAAAAAAGGGAAACCTGAAGTCGTTGGAGAGAGGTAAAGAAACAGGTGTACTTCCATCCCAATGGGGCAGCAGATGGCTAAGAGGGACTCGATAAAGGTATCGAATTGGTGTCATGTAGAAGTATGGAAGAACGTGCTCGTGCGGCACCCGAGGAAGGTTACAGAGGGCTGCGCACCCACCTTTGAACGGACGGGCTAGATGCTCAGAGACAGGACAACGAGCCAGGAGGAGACCACGACAGAAAGACTTCAAACTAAACAAGGGAGGCAAGAGTGTCTACAAAGTGTCTACAAAGAAAAAGTGGCCAGCAGTGCAAATGCCACAGAAGAGGCCAACAAGGTAAGGAGCAAAGAGCGTTTCTCTGACTTGGCGGTTAAAAGGTCATGGTCACCTTAGAGAGAACACTCTCGGGCATGAGCGCAGAAGCCCAGACTACAGTACAAGCATGTCTGCTCACGCAGTGCATGCCTTCTCTAAAAACCGCACCCTAAAACTCACTGGGCTTGGAAAACGATGATTGGGATAGACGATTCAAAACGTGGGCATCTAGGGAATGGCTGCTAATGGGTATGGGCTTTCTCTTTGAAAATGTTCTAAACATTCGGTGATGATGGCTGCATGCTTCAGTGAATATACTAAAAGCCACTGACTTGCACATCTTAAAAATAGGTGAATTCTATGATAGGTGAAATATACCTCAAAAGAACTACTTTTTAAAAGACTGTTAGGGAATGAGTAAATCAGAGCAGGCTTGGAGCCACAGACAGCTCAAAGCCATTGTTCCTCCAGTCTGTAAACACTTGGAAGTGAAAGAGAAAGGAAGAATCATTTGTTGAGTGTCTAATCTGTGCCAGTCACTGTGGAAAGCCCTCTATCTACCATATTTCATTGAATCCTCACAACCACTCTGTTATCCCTATTTTACAGATGGGAAACTTGACACTTAACTAAGGCAACATCACACAGCTGTTAAGTTGCAGAGTCAAAATCCAAACAAACTCAGATCTGATACCAAAGACATCTGCTCTTTCCACTACATCATGCTAAATTCATTCTTTGTTTTCTTAAAGATATTTACTTGAGAGAGAGAGAGCAGGGGAGGGGCAGAGAGAGCGGGGGAGAGGCAGAGAGAGAGGGAGAGAGAAACTTTAGCAGACTTCTGTGCTGAGCGTGGAGCCTGATGCGGAGTTTGATCCCAGGACCCTGAGATCATGACCTGAGCCGAAACCAAGAGTTGGAAACTTAATTGACTGAGCCACCCAGGCACCCCTTTGCTAAATTCATTCTTATGGAGTTCTTTTTCTAGGCCAAAGTGAATTTGTTCCACAAAGTGGTGTCCAGAAGCACAACCAGAGAGTATGAGAAAGTCCTGAGTGAAAATTAAAAAGCAAACAAAAATCACAAACAACAAAACGGATGCATCTTTTTAAATGGAGAATTTAGCAAAAACACCACAAACCGCAACTGGCATTGGGGTTAACTTGGATTATTCAAGCAGGTAGGTCAATGTAGCAGGAGGCTAGTATAGAAAATATTAACAATGAATAGAACCAGGATGGCTGGTAATCACTGGAGGACTGGTGGCAGGGGGTGCAGAGCTCCGGTGTCTGGTTGTGGGTGGGAACTGAAACCGCACTGCAGCCAACAAGACCTTGAAAGCTGCATGTTTCCAGCCCTGAAGGGGGCCACACTGCGGCCCGCGAGGCATAACAAACCAATTACTCGTAGTTTGAGGACTCTGACGGCAGTGACGATTTTGTTTCTGCAATTGCACCTTGAAATAAGAAGCCCAGAATAACACCAGAGGAGTTAAGAACTAGAAACACCAAAACCTAAAACTGAAGAGTCTCCAGAAAAAAGACATTCCACTACAAGAGAAAACCCCTAGAAAAGGATGGCTTTGGATGAAAAGCCCTGCCAGAGAGACTTAGAGTCATACTGGCTCTATCGGTGATGCAACTCAATAGTCACCGTGGATGTGGAGGAAGCTCAAGATAAAAGCAAAGGAAAATGGGCAACAGTGAACAGAACAATGACTAAGTCTCCCCATATCTCCAACTGCTGTGTAACCAGTGATTATTTAGATCTGGGTGAGATTCCAGAGGAAGGGGATTTTCACAGTGTTCCCGGAAAAGAAAAGCAGCAGTGCATGCCAGGGTATGACCCAGGAAGACCCACAGTGGTGGGGGCAGGGCGAATGACTCTGAACTAGACTCTGCAACTGGTGAAGAGTCTGAGGGTGATTCTGATTTTTGTGAGAGTGAAGACATGATGTAGATGTCCCTATGAGAAAGAGTAAAACTAAAGAAATTAAGAAGTGAAGATAAAATCCCCAGCTGAAAAAAAAAAAAGAGAAGAAAGCTAAATCCAAGTATAGTACTTTGAAGGCCTGTAGGAAACCATCACAAATACTCAGTCTGTCAGCAGGAAGCAGAAAACCCAGGCGGGTCCCACGGGTGGTATGCGGAAGTAGCAACAACAGCAGGAGCCCAGGGGCAGGAGTGTCTGCTAAGGCTCCAGATCAGTCCCCACCTTGGCTTGTCCAGATTAGCAGGAGTTAAACCTCTGCATCCAAATGCAGCCAGGAGCTGAGTGTGGTAGTAAAGAAATGTTTCATTAAGAGAATCAGTTCTACAAGTGTTTATACTTGATGTGTGTTTCTGTTTACGGAAGGTACCTAAAATAAAGGAATCCGTTAACGTCATATAAATGATCTCTGCCCGTTCTGTGATAATGTTCTCTGAAGCTATTCAAGACTTCGATAAGAGATTTGTTTACAAGAATTATACTGTAATATCATTTCCTTCTGAAGAACATATTCTATTTTTCTTATGTATGGTAAGTCATTGTCATTAAGTGGTTGTCAGTTTGACATGGAAGAAATCCACATTACACGATGTTCTTTTCTAGTAACACAAAGTTCCTTTCTAGCCTGGTCGAATTTATGGTACCTTAACTTGAACTGTTTAGAGTTTATCTGGCAAAAGAAAACATTCCCATTTTTTTCCAGGGGACACTTCTGAAATCTTACTTAAGTTACATTGCCAATTTTGTTGCAAAGGTGTTTCATATTTTAGCCACACATTTTTATAGAAAGAATTCAGAATTATTTTACACATTAAAATGGTTGCTATAAATGGCATGTGTCTCCGACTTAGAAGTAGAGGTTTACTGTATAACAAATGGAATGTAATGACATTTTATAAAGCTCTCATTGTCAAAACCTTTAATAAAAGCAAAAAGGTTTTGATACACTCTTCTCCTTCATACCATTGTATCCATGTCTGTTATATGATTAAATGAATGCTTTGGGGGGAAAAAAGGAATAAAAATAGAAAAGAAATGCATACAACAGCTAATGAGATCAGAGTAGGCATGTGCTGACACAATGCAGCCGGAAGGGGAGCTCTGAGACAGCGGGCTGCCCCTTACAAAGGACACTGTGATGTGCCACGGGCTGAGGGCCACACCGCCCTATGGAGGTATCTCTATATGCTGATGTGTCTTTTAACTGTCTTAAATAAAACCAAAAGGCTCTTACAGCAAGCAGAGCCAACGTTTCCTTTCCTTTCCTGCTGAAGGTGTTATACTTCTATTCCCACTATTCTGGCTCTCTTTAGGAAGAAAATTACATTGAACTAACTTGATTTAAGATACAGTAGCATCAAATTAAAAGAAAGAAAGAAAAAGATATAGTAGCATCATTTCCTGATATAACAACGATTCTAGGAAACATGCAGTGTAACAGAACACACTGTATAGTTAGGTGGTGTGG